ATGCTATAATGTGTTATATGCAACATGTGGAATTTGGTAATTGTTAGTCTATGAAAGTACAGTTTTATAATGGTATTTTGTAGTTTGGTAATTGTTAGTTATTGTTCAATGTTAGATTTTGTACTTTGCTTGTATGTTGAATGTATATTTTGTTTAAAGAATGTTATAATCCTAGTTTAACTTACAAGACTATGTTGTTTTATTTATACTTGGAAATGTTTCAAACAATGTTACAACATTCGGCATGTAGTGTCGCACTTGAAGATTGGTTTCGTTCGTTGCCACATTGAAATGAAACTGGAGCAAACGAGGATAGCGATGATGACGAGTAAATAGTTGTACGATTTTTGTGTATTTTGTTTGTGCAAGTAATTTAGACTAGTATTTTAAATTACATGAGTATTTTAAACGGATGTTGTATTAATATTTCTGAATGGAATGATGTAGTATTAGATTAATTAATATCATACCAGTTTTATACTTTTTATATAGTTTTTTATTTCAAACTTAATTTGATATATATATATATATATATATATATATATATATATATATATATATATATATATATATATATATATATATATATATATATATATATGAAAATACCAATACCGACAACGCCTTTAGAGTTGGTTATTAGCAGCGACACAAGTTTATTACCGGCGACATGAGGTAATTACTGGCAACAAGACTTTAGTGGTGACATCTCGCATTAGCGGCGATAGTTTGATTATTTGAGACAAAACATCAACGACGACCTTTTAGCGACAACGTGTCGCCGCTAATATTATTAACGACAAGAAACCTATTTTTAGCAGCGACGTATCTCGCCAGTAATACTCTAATTTCTTGTAGTGTACAAATTGATACCGATATGAATATGTAGGATGTGTTTGATGTACATAAAAAAAATATCATATTTTCTTAAATTATTGCAATATATAACTGTTTGATGAGCGATAAACTTGATTATAATCGTTTTTTTCTCACAAAAGACTTTCAACTTTCATAGTTTTTCCATTAAAACCCAATATTTATTATTTTGCCAATTTAATCCCAAGATTTTCTAATCCTCCCTGTTTGCTTGTATCCAAGTCATCTTTAGGGCAAAAAAAATCTATAAACACCCCATATCTCCTCAACGTTTACCCAAAAACCAAAAGATTCAAAAATTATTTTTTCTTGGCATGGTATCGTTATAATGACAAACAATGAAAACGGTTCATAGGATGTTTGGTAATAAGTTGAAGATTAAATATTCTTTATACCAAAAATACACTATTTTGATACAAAAATGATATAACAACATACACTCATCTTTTCCAATTTTAGATATTGTATACCAAAAAATATTACATTAACAATAAGCAACTCCAAGTGCACTACTAGTTCTAGCTTGAGCTTCTACAAGTGAAACCACCATTATTAACATGATCTTCTCCACGAAGCTATTAGAAACTATACCACTACCTTCCATCTCACTATTTCCCCACAATCATCTACTGTGCATGATCAATTTTCCAATGTGCTTGCAAGGATGAGGTTAAATCCCTAAAAAAATAAGACACCCAATTAACCTTCAGATGATTTAATAAAGATCCAACAATTAAATAATTAAAACGGAAACCATATTGAAACTTGAAGATGAAAGTTCAAATTTAAAAGAAAATTTGGTAACGGAGATTTAATTAATCTATCATCTATTCATCAATTAATTGCTAGAAAACTTGTCAATATGTTACTAATTTAAAGAATCATACTATCAAAATAATGGAAGTATCAAACATATTGGGAAAATTAAATTAAAATCAAATATGACATTTCCCAAATTGATTGTTGAAGAAAGTCCAAGTTGAAAAACCAAAGTGCCAACAAAACTACATCCTAAACCTAACTGAATCCTAAAAAAGTTATATACTGGGAAATATCAACTAACAATACAATTATGTAGATTTGAAAACTTATAGAATGACATAAAGTCATTTAACTTGAGTAAGGACCGAACACTATGAATTGATATATATATATATATATATATATATATATATATATATATATATATATATATATATATATATAAGGCATGAGATATGGAATACTAAGCGTAGAGGGTATTGAAGTGATGTAGGCATATTTCACTTTAGTTCCACAACCCTATGTATCTAGTTATGGCCTTACTTTGATATCTTTCATCTCTTTAAGGTAAAACAATGCATCTTTAAATCATTCATCGTCAACAAACCTAAGGATGATTCAATCATATATCTTAAGATGAAGCCTGCAAACCCTAAACCTCTTCACAACTCTTAGTGTAACATCTGAATCCTTGAAGTACTTAGTTTATTGAATTCATGTATTGTAGAGGAGGCTCACGATGAGATCCATGATGGTCACGGCGTGAGGGAGCATCGACTATTTGAACTGTATTCTTGAATCTCACGATGTTAGCATGATGCCTCACGACGTGAGCCGGGCTTGATGACCCAAAACACTAATTTGTGGGTATTTAATGGAATGGAAGAGCTAGGGTTCCCCATCTTGAGCCTCTCTCACTACTTAGCCCCCTAAAAACCCTAGATTCGATCTCCTTGAGACTTTTGGCCATTATTGGTGATCTTGAAGAGCTTATTTGTTGGTTTTGGTCCATTGAAGTGGAAGAGAATTCATGGGGTGCTTCATATTGGCAATCTAGCTTCTACCTCTTGGTCTTGTTGAGCTTTTGGACCTCTTTAAGTTACAAAACTCTTACCTTTTTTCCTCTTGCATTCTAGATCTAGGTTTTGAAGCCTTTCTTTTCATGGTTGGTTTGTGTAATATGCATGAGATCCATAAAAGTTAGCAACTTTATGGATCATTGAGACATCTTCTGTTTATGAGGCCTTGGATCTGAGTTTTGGTGTTGGTTTTAGATTCCAAGCATGATTCTTGATCTTATTACCTTCATTTTGATATAGTTAGTATCTAAGTCATGTATTGGACATGAATGACTGCAAAGCTATGATTTTTATAGTCCTTAGGGTTGTGGGAGGTCCTCTGGAAGGTCCCAAGGAATATCTTAAAGGATTAAAATTTAATGCTTAAATCAGAACAGATCTCATGACATGAGAAATGGGAATGTCACAACGTAAGGAATGAGGATGTCTCGATCTAGATGAGTTATGACTGATTCGACTCGCTGAGTGGGGCTTAGTTGAGTCCATTCTCACGACGTGACTAGATATCAGGTCACGGCGTGAGGGTGAGCTAAGGGGAATGTTGACCATTAACGTTATATATTGACTTTTGATCAAAGTAGACTTTTGGTCAACTCTTGTTTTTGAAGGGTAGACTAAAGGTTTGCCTTGTATAATTATCTAGGTGTGGTGTAGTACCATTGTAGCTGACTGTGAGAGCAACAATAGTTGGTTATCGATCGAGAGGTGAGTTTTGTTCAATATACTCGTGGATCGAAGGCACCAATGTCGGCATAATGAATTATGTTTACTGGTTGATAATTCTCTTTGTGATAATTTCCTGTTATGGTTGTATTTGCTTGTTGTCTTTATGACTCTTACTGTTTTGATTGGATGCTAGCTGTAGGGGTGAAATGGACATGATAACTGTTGAAAGAGACCAAAGTGGTCGAAATATAGCCAATGTCGGTTAAAAGAGACTGAAGAAGGTGAAATAGACCCAATACCGGTTGAAAAAGACTGAAATGGTAGAAAAATACCAGCACCAGTTGAAAGAGACCGAAGGGGTTAAAAATATCGAGATATGTTCGACTATTATGTATGCATGGTATAGGGTATTTGGGGGGAGTTCAGTAATCTTTGTTCTTATAGTTTTCAATTTATATTTCAGGTACCTCCAACTCGAAAAGGAAGGGCCTGGGTTGATCGCACCGTATCTGGCCATGTTTTCTGCATTTACGTGATTTTAGGATTTATACTATGATATTCTTACACTATGACACACTTTTGGTTGTTTTGTGATGGTTACTGGTTTGTATTTAAATGAATTAAAAATTAAATTTTTATCTGAAATTTTGGGATGTTACAAGTTAATATTAGAGCCTTGGTTTGAGGGATTCAGGAATACTCTCGGGTGTGCCTGAACTCAAATCGAGGATTTGTAGATTTTCATAAAAAGAAATATTTTAATTAAGGGATTTAAATAGAAGAAATGGGTGTGATGCATGCAATCAACCAAGCTCAAGTAAGTCTTCCCAAAATACCCATACATGTTATATGTTTTATGATATGATATGAGAATTGCATGCTAGATTAGGGCTAAGAATCTGCTCATAATTGCATGATAGAATGTTAGACGAGATGTCTTTACAGGATCAAGGAAACTTTGAGAGTGTAAACCTCTTCATGTGTATAACGATTGTTTATGTGTTACGATTCAGCATAGTGATGACACATGGTAGAGCAGGAGGTTCAGGATCTGGATCTGGTTTGCCCACAGGCACCAAACAAATTGATGAGGGCTTATGGGAGTTCATTGAGTTTGAGATTACTTGAGGTGTCCTTGATGAAACCCTAGTGATGTTTGGGTCAATCAAGGAGGGTATCATGGTGGTTTTGGAGGATCGCCTTCGGATCTTCAGGGGCGACCTGGCTGCTAGCCATCCTGGGGCCCGCACTCTCTCCTTCAAGGATTTTAGGGGATTTGGGGTACCATGTTTATTTGTGGTGAAGGACCTTATTGCTTCCAGGCACTGGTTAGCAGACATTAAGTGTGCCTAGATGACTAGTTTCTGCCTCGAAGGGTCGAAGGTGAGGTTCGCTGCAAGTTGCCTGAGGGAGCGGGCTCGAGATTAGTGGGAGGAATTCGCTATACTCTGGGAGATCCAACCATTAAGGCCATGACCTAGCCAGATTATGTGACCCAATTCAGAGTTGAGTTTTGCACGATCTGTTAAGGTGCAACAACTAGCAAGCGAGTTAAGAAGTGGTCAATAGTAGCACCCCAACGCGCTGAATATTAAATACAATGAATTAGAATAAATCTTAATTACCATCAATCTGGTGAACACCAGAATCTCCACCGAACGGATGTGGTGGCTCATCATCACAATCACCTCCATGGCCCATCACAGCAACCATGAGATGAACCAATGCAATCTAAAAAAATAACCTCTGTGAAAAATTGTAACATTATATATATATATATATATATATATATATATATATATATATATATATATATATATATATATATATATATATATAATAACACAACATGAAAAATGATAACACAAATGGAAGTTGTTTTTTATATGTGTATTTAGCTTTTTCCATATCTTTATTTTTTATTTCAACTTATTTTTATTTTTATTTTTCTATTACGATATTATACAATTTCATATTTTTATATATAAATTTTCAATTATACAATCGTATACATTTTAGATTACAACATTAAATACACATACATATACATTTTTGCAATTATAACATCATATACAAACTATATATATATATATATATATATATATATATATATATATATATATATATATATATATATATATACATTTTTACGTACAAATACAAATATATACATATATTTTTACATACATATCCACAAATATACATACATTTACATTTTTACATACATATACAAACATATACATACATTTTTACATACATATCCACACATATACATACATATTTATATAAATATACACATATACATATACATTTCGCAAACAAATACATACATTCCATATACATACATACATTTTAACATAGTTTTCTTATACACACATTTTTTTCATACGTAGTCATACATTTCATATACAAATACACATATACATATACATTTCACATACAAATACCAACATTTTTTATACCTACATTAAAAACATTAAAAAAATTAAAAAAAAATAAAAAAAAAAAAAAAAAAAAAACCTGGAAATCGATAAGGTGGTGGTGTTGTGGTCGAGATCGCCGGAGTAGATGTGGTATCACCGGAAAAGAGGTGGTGTCATCGGAGATGCTGCTGTGAAACCACCAAAATCCAAAATTAACACACAATTTCATTATAGAAAAGAAATTAAAAGAGAAATGAAGGAATGGAGCCCTTACCTTTGCTGCAGATGCCGGAAAATCGGAGTTTTATCGTCGGAAAACGTATTACAGTCTGGGCCAAATGTGGGGGAGAGGAGGAGTGAAGAGAAAGGAGAAATGAGAAACTTTATGGTAATGGTCGCCAAAGAAATCGAGAGGATCGGGGTTTTTTGGCCGAATAATTGCTGGAAAATCGTGTAAGAAGTTGTGGAGTGAAGCTTGTCACCTGTTCTGAGAGACGATGGGGAGGTAAAGTGGACGAACCCTTTCGCGGTGACACTATTTGCGGCGTCAAGCTACCAATTTAGGCAACAAGCTGGAGGGAAAATATCCCGCCTCTTTTTTAGTGACTAGCAGCGACGACAACATCGTCTCTATGGTCGTCGCCGCTATTGGCTTGGTACAGAGAAACCCTACCCGTTGGATCGGATCAAAAACGAACGGCCACGATTCACTCTGGTGAAGTCACACGGATCGTCGACGTAGACTATTAGAGGCAACCCTTTAGCAGCGACGCCAAGCTTTTCGCAACAACACAAAGGCGTCTTGTCACATGTCATCCCTAATACTACTTGTCGTATCTAATTGCATCGCCCCTAATGCCTATATTTCTCGTTGTGTAGGGTTAGGGCATTGGCTTATCGTATAAGGCATATGGCATAATGCTTATGTATTAAGGCCCATTCTTACAAGCCTACCACCATCTCCACACCACACAACTTGTCCCCACACCACCCGTACCACCCTCCCCATATATATACCCGGAACAACACTTACATCCCCATCCTACCCTTACACTCAACCCTACAACCACATGCCCTAATTTCATGGCATTTGGTTCAGGAAGTGTGGATTATTACTTATGGATTATGTCTTAGTTCTCTAGAGTTTGGGCTTCAAGCTTAGGGTTTAGGGTTTATGATGAAAACACACCCCACACCCACACCCACCTATCCACCCAATCATACCTCCCATATATATATATATATATATATATATATATATATATATATATATATAATATATATATATATATATATATATATATATATATATATATTGATGCAACACCCACATCTATAACCTAACTCCCACAAATACCAACCCTCGCCTTATATAGTCTACAACGCCCATAGATAGAAACAGATGCTTACCCTACTCCAAACTTGACCACTACCTTCACGCCCGCATCTACATGCTCATACTAACCAGACCCCATATCTACTCGACTGCCACGCATCCTCACCTTGACACTTATATTTATAATTAAAGTATGATGTTTTGATAGAAAGTAAGGGTAAAATACATTGGTATTATACTATTATAGATTAAATTAATAATGTGTTCTTATAATAAATTAAATTTCATTGTTATTACGGTTTAAAAGTGAATTAGATTTACTAATTATACGCGCGTTTTTTCGTGCCGTTTTTTAGGTACAAAAGATATGTGAACAAGTTGAAATCATGGCAAAAGCCTTCCAACGTGCTCAACTTGATATGGAAAATGATATGGAACACCGTCAAAAACAAATAGAATTGCAACAAGAAGCTCAAATAGATTTGCAAGTGCAACAAAAGGCATGCATTTGGTAAGAGTAAATTGGAAATTCCTTTTTTTTTTTTTTAATAGTGACCGAGGGGAAAACAAGATGAGCGCTAAATCAGCAGGAGGAGAGTATGACACTGCAGAGAGTACACCTTTTTTTAGTAAAGTAATAAAAAGTTAAGACATAAACTAAAGTATGGAAAGAAGCATACAACATGAAAGAAAAAAAATTACTCATAATTAGTTACCACAAAAAACACATTAACTCATCGGAGCATTCTAGTACTTATACAACCTGACATTTAGTGTGAGCAACATCTATCGAGAGCTTGTTACTTCCCAAATAAAAAACACCATTATGATAAGTGCAAGGGGTGAGTGTTGGCAAGGTAGGCTCACATTCCTCCTGGCAGTAATCAACCATTCTTGTGTTTCCAGCAACTTGGACGAAGCAACTCCATGAAGTTCCATGGCAAGCTGGAGAAGCAGGGATACAATTCAACAAGCTTTGATATTTTTCACACCTTTCCTCCATTCGATAATACCATTTTCCTCTTTTCCACCCTACGCGAAAGCCTGTTCCAAATCCCTTCCCTACTCCGCTTTCCCCTATGTTCTTTGCAGTAATATCTACAGGCTTTGTAGTTGGCACTTTTTTAACCGCAGGCTTGGTAGTATCATCCACACCTTTACTCACTCCCTTTACAAGAGAACCTACTACTTTAGCAAAGCCAAGCAATTTACGATCCTCTTTCCTGTACGAGTATTTTTTAGGTTTATAGTAAGCATGCAATCAAAAAGTAGAAGTACAGTGTTCACATAAAAACAAATGGCGATAAATTAAAAGAAACTTTTGGTACCTGACTTGGGGGATCTGATCGTTGGCATGGGAAGAAGAAATAAGAAGAATGATCGTTAGCACGAAAAGTTTTGATTTCTTAGCAAAGAAAGCCATTTCTATGAATGAATGTTTGATATATGATCATATGGTGTATTGGTCTTTGCCTTTTATACACACTTGTGTAGCTACTAGCTAGCTACCCCACTTGTGGAAGCTGGTAATTATAATACCAAAAATTACTACTTGCCTTTTATAAATAACCTCAAACCGCCTGCCTTGACCAAAACCACTTTGAAAATTTCATTTAGACGTTTTCAATTAAGTAAAAATCATTACCACTTGCACTACTATAAATAGCACTTATTCCTACCAAAATTTCCCTTGACGTTTCCTAGGAAATTCTTCAAAATTGATCTTCTGGATTTACTATTTTGTAATTTAAATCTAGACTTTTATCATTTATTCATTTCTATTATATATATATATATATATATATATATATATATATATATTATATATATATATATATATATATATAGACTAGTCGTTTGCCCGCGCGAAGCTACAGACGAACAATAGTTTGTTTCGGTAATTAGTTCCTTTTCGGCAAACGATGATTAGCTTCAATTCAACGATTAATATGCTTTATGAAACATTCATAAGACACAATGTACTGTCAAGTAACACAAAACATTTGTTTCAATACAACAATCCGTTTTTTCTTTTGACGAACAATGTATTCTTTAATGTATTTGTTGCTTTTGTGTATGTTCGATATGTCATATGTTGGATACATTGTGTCGAAAACAGATCATTTTTTATTCATGATAACATATTTAAAGAAAAAAAAAACTTGCTTTTAATAGTGGGAAAATATATGGACTTGATTCGTTGGGGTTTTCGGTTTTCATGGTCGTATGGATTCCCAAACTCGATGACATCAAAGTCTTTACTATTTAGTGACATACATAGTCATATGAACAAATTTACACATACACAATCACAAACACTGTTACAAACAAAGCCACACATCCACATACAAAAACGATTATCACATTGTACTTTCAAAGTATAATACATATATGAAAAAGATGAAAAAAGATAAGAATAATAAAAATTAAAAGAAAAGAAGAAATTGAAATCAAAGGAAGATGCTATATATAGATAAGATTTCTTTATTTATATATTTATTATTATTTTTGGATATAGATTGGATACGTTTTTTTTTTGTTTGATTTTGTTTTTTTTTCTTTTCCGTTGAACTTTGGATTTATTTTTATGTTTGTTGAGATTTTTTTAATTGAAATTACAAATTTGATATGTTTCTGCTGAAACCTTTCTAATCGATTTCATAAAATATATTTAGAAGTGTGCTTGCTATTTGGGCATAAACATAAATTGTTTAATAATGAAGCGGGTATACTTAATTTGTGAAATATTTTTTTGTTAAATTAGAGTCAATTTATTGCTTGCATTTACATTCTTATTTATTTGTAATCAAGAAAGGTTTTGGTCAACATCACGTTAAAGTCTTTGAAAATATCACAAGACTGGAAAAGACAGAATAATAACACAAATTGCCAACACTTGCAAGTCTAATTTAGGGTACGTAGTTTGTTATAATTCTTCATTATTATATGATTTTTAGTTAGGTTATAATTTAATGGAAATTAAGTATTGAGTGTTCCACTTAGAATTAAGTATCTTCATTATGAGACTATATCAACCCTCATGGGTGCAGTTCATAAAGGCATCAATACAAAAACCAAAAAATCTGCAAGATTTTGATTTACTTTCTGAATCTATTACAAAATGAAACGTATAATACTTTTTTATGAATTGATATAATGTTCAATTAAGAAATAAATTGGAATTACAATGCTATGTTTGGATCAAAACTTAGACTTGACCATTTTGCCACAGGGGCTTAGTTCCCATGATGTTGCGGTGCTGTGAAATTTAAAGGCATCTTTAGCATCGGTTTGACTGCAACTGTGTTTGTGATCATGATGTCCTATACAGATAAAAAAAAATCTCATTATCAAATTAAGTAATGTAAGTAACATACATATTCAATAGGGAAAATGATTTACAAGTCCAACGAGTTTTCAAACAGTTCAAAAAACTCCAGTCATGTTTTGTCTGTTCAAAAAAAACCCAACGAACTTAACATTTTGTCTAAAAAGCCAAATTAAGTTACACTTTCCTGAAAATCAAATAAGAGAAATAGATGACGTGGCTTATTACCATATCGGGGAAACGACTTGTTAGACTAAAAAAGTTTCCAAAACGTTTAAAAAACTCCAATCATGTTTTGACTGTTCAAAAAAACCTCAATAAACTTAAAAAAAAAAACTAAATTGGGATTTTTTGAACGGTTTGGAACTTTGTTGGACTTTCTAGACAAAAAGTTATATTCGTTGGGTTTTTTTGAACAGACAAAACATAATTGCTATTTTTTGAATGTTTTGTAAACTTTATTGGGCTTTTAAGTCATTTTCCTTATTCAATAAGGTCTAATTGACAAGTATTTTGTTGATTAACCATCAGACTAATACACATAACCAATCAACATTGCTTAGGCCGCATTGTTATTATACTTGGTTTATAAGTGAAATAATAGAAAATAAATAAAATCAAACCAGCCACCACAACTAAAATCCAAACGCTATCTCTATCTTAACATCTTAGCAGCTATCAGTACCAACAAAACTGCCATGCAACCACTTTTCCCTTTTGGTCTACTAAAAAAAATCTGAAAAACAATACAAAAGTATTGATTCATGTCAACAGTGGGCATATAGTTTCCTTGACAACTTTTAATATTTGTATGTAGTTTCCTCGGCTTCCGTAGAGTCCAAAACCTCATACAAGCAATCCCCATCTAATTCTTTAATGTATCAAACAAACTAAATCCTACTAAACAGTTAAAATTTACCATTTAGTCCAAATATAAAGAAAAACTAAAGAAGACTTTAGTCATTAAGCTAAGGAGATTGAGGTTAAAGTATGCATTAACTCTAAATAGAAAAAAAAATGCTCAAGAAATGTTTGAAGTATCTCAGGTCTCAATATACAAAACATGGAGTTTGTTCCTGGTGATCTCACAACAATACCTCCATTACTTATAACCTAAATGTGAAAACAATAAATATGTTAGGATAAAAGAGTATTTTTCTTTTTTAAAATATGTTCATTTAAAACAAAGTTTAGGTTACAACAGACCTGTTGAACGATTAACCCGGTTTCTTTTGGTATGATTGTCACACTTCTGGTGTTGTTGAATATGATTAAAACAGACCCGAACTATTAACTTTCAACCAAATGGCCAAGGACAAAAGATGTTCGATTATAAAAACATGCGGTTCTTAGGTAAAGCTGCGAACTATGACAACAAACTTTGTGATTGAGACATACATTATAACTGTGCTATATAATGTTCATACCATAGATAAAAATTTTCTCTGCCAAACTTATCTAAAAATGAAACAATAGGAAAAAACTTTTCTACACTAAGGTTTGCGCATATTATTACATACCGCTGTGCATAAATATAAGCAGAATATATATATTATTATATATATATATAATATATATATATATATATATATATATATATATATATATATATATATATATATATATATATATATATACATAGCATAAAAAGGTTTAGATTGTAAGGTTTGTTAACTCAAGATCAATGAAGTTTCAGTTCAGAAGACAAACATGAAGAGATACCTTTGGTTTACCTTAATTAGAACTGAGAATTCGAAAAGATTTAAAATGACGCACCATATGATATAATACCTGGGATTCAAAATTGCGATTAAAAAAAACAACAAATGGTTAAACATAATAACGATATCGAACCAAGAAGGCAACACACACTAACCATTATACTTGTGGTTGAAGGGACGATGATGGTGTCCATGTTTTTTTGTCGAAAACCAATTTATTTTTAATCGGTCCTGGTACTATTTAATCGTTTATAGTGAGAGTGAAAAGGGTTTATAAAGAATCGATTGGTGAAAACAGTTTGGGGGTGGGCATGGGGTTTAAAGGAGTCAAGTCGGTGAAGAGGTGGTGACACAGTGGTGTCGGCCCACCGAAGGCACCAATGTCGGCCCACTGAATTATGT